GAAAACGTCATTATCTTGTTATACTCACAATATTACGATCGTTGTACTTCTATCCTTCGAAAACAGCCTGTTATATTCATTAAGGCTCTTGAATTGTTTTTCTGTACTTTTTATTCAATCCACAAGAAGATAATTCCCATTTCGCTATGTTAAAGGGAGTTAACTTATATTAGATAATTCAATCTTGTGGGGTTGCCATTTTCCGTTCTCATCAATAGACTACAAGATAACAGATTCCAGTTTCACTAGTGATCCTTGCGAATTCTAAATGAATAAATCCGAAACCATTACAGAGGTTAACAAAAGCCTTGCTAAAAAAACCGGAATCATAGCTTGATGGGGTTTCCTCCACGCACGAACCGAAAAAAAGTTGGAAATATGACTCGTCACACCAGATGACATAGCACCAGTATTTCATGGCCCAAAATGTTTTCTCGTTCAGGAGAGTCACAGTAACTGATCTTGGGAGGTCAATAATGGTACCTTTGACCGACGACCATACGATAGTAATGGTAATATTAGTCGTTTATAAAGATAAGGAAACATTTAGTATTCATTGACCGAGCAGCTAGTGCTACTTTCGGTTCCCATGTCATACAAAACCTATTAAATTAGAATGTGATTTCATCCAATGTTCCTCTTCATTGGGTGTTCACCATCCCCGTCAGTCATCTGCTGTCACGTTCTTGTATCAACTCTATGTGGCTGCACTTTTCACGTGATGCTGATGTCTGTTCAGAAGAGGCATATTTTTGATATACCTTTGTCACCGTTGCCTACAATTTACAATACTTACCACCAAGAGATTATTAAATAAAGTGTTCAGTCCGAAATTCCTTGAAGATTAACCATATCGACAGACACCTGAAGAAGGCTGGAATGTACAACAACCGAAACGTTGTAATAACGACAACAACGATAGGGAAACTAGCCCGACTGTATATAATATAAATAAATAAAAAAATGTAAAAAAAAATTTGTTTAGTTGAAAACATTCCAATATTTGTCATATTTTGTTCTGTATGCCATGACCTTAACATAGTTTTTTCTTCTTCTTCCTCCTCCTCCTCCTCCTCCTCTTCTTCTTCTTCTTCATATTATTATTAGTAGTAGTAGTAGTAATAATAGTAGTAATATCATCACCATCGTCGTCATCATCATCACTAGCAGAATTAACATTTCTTTTCATCATTTTATTATTTGTATATCAAATAATAAACTAAATTGATTTTTACAGATAATTTTAATGAAAATTAATATCAACAAAAATCATTTCTTCTCCTTTGGGTATTATATTGTAAATGCACAATGTAAATCGCTTTCACCTTCAAACCCATGTTTTTTCTTGATCAATACTTTAGTTTTCGAATCTTTTTTTTTTTTAAATTCTCCTATATTGAATTGCAAGCTTTGATCTGCATCCAAGGGAGATTATCCAGACTGGTAATAATAAAAATCTACATGACTTTGGCATATAAACAAATAAAGAGAAAAAGTCCAAGTAAACCCCAAAGGGATTAATTTCTTTTCCGTTATAAAATCATGTTTACTTTAAAATATTTTTATTGATTTCATTTTTTGTTTCTTTATGAGGTTAATTCAAAATATGAAATGTTATGTCTGTTTCATAAAAATTATTTATCGTTATTATTATTGTTATTATTATTATCATCATCATATGAGTCAATATTTGTGTTATTTTGAAAGAAACGCGATGTGTGTTGCATTCTATAATAAGACATTTCCTTTTTTGATTAAAATATTTTTACTTACTAAAAATAACCTAAGGTATGTAGTCCTTAATAACAAGGGAGTATTTACACGACTGAGCATCCATTTTAAATTTATCATATTGGTTTTAAATCAAGATATCATTTAACAACAGCATTAAGCTTTCTTCGCGATTTTATTGTTGAATTGCTTTGCCAATATTATTTGCTTCATGTTGCTTGTTTCGTTTGTCTTTCTAAATTGAATATTGCGTTCTCGCCAGGATTTTTAATTAAAATGCCCGGCGAGCATTATTTTATCAATTTAAAATCCTTTCCTTTCATTATTTTTGTCTTTTCGATGTGCTTGTTAATTGAATGTTACATTGAGTGTAAATTTCTTACACAAGCAAAGAAAAAAGTTATATTTTTATTTTATTTTATTTCTAAGGCTCTCCTCCTCCCACTAACAGGTATCTTTGTTTTTTTAACATTTATTAAATTATTTTTAATACAATATTCTTTCTCTAGTGTTTTCTTGGGTGTGTTCATCCAGTGAAAAATATTTTATTTCTTTAGAGATTTTCGTTCATTTTTTCATTATAATGTAATACTTTACACACAATAGTTCTAGATTACATAAAGTAGGGTTCGTGACGCCTCCATCCCGGGAATCTGTCTCCTCGCAACCAGAGCAAGTTCTAACTCATCGTCACTATTTATATGAGGATCCAAAGACTTTTGCACATAGATCGTACCAAAACCTTGCCCTGTTTTAACGACCTTTGATACAGGCGCCAGTTCGTACCGTCTACTCTAAAATGCTATTGGTAAAAAAGAAGAGTTGCAGACACATTTCAAAATCAATTTAAATAATTATTTTATTACTTATATTTATATTTAGATAACTAGTGTTGTTTTTTTTATCTGTATACAAAACATACTCTTTGCTATACTTAGGATAAAATATCCAAATATTTAATTTGCTTTTTGAATTCATTTTTTATTTACTTTTTAATTTATTTTAAAAAGTAATATTTCTTTTTTTTTCCATAACATTTGAAAAATGGAAATGATTGACAAATGACGACATTGCTCAGGCAAATGTCGCAAATATTACGCCACGACTTTATATTGAAATAAAGGCACACATCGATCTCATTAAATATTATTTTTTATATTTTTTCTTTCTAGATTTGTAAATATTTTCACTCTATGTTTAGGTAAAATTAGGCGATGACATAAGGCTAATTAGTAATTAATCAAAAAGTAGGAGAAAGATCGAAAAATGGCGTCTGATTAAAATTAAAAATGAAAAATGTTTGAACTCTGTTTTTAAATCCAATATGGACAGATATTCTAAATCACCAAATGAAATATATACTAGAGGGGAGCCTTGAATTACGACAGAGTTCAGTTCCTACGATGTGTTGCAATGCGATTTTTGTGTAAGTCGGAACGTACCCGCGATTTTCCATGAATAAGCACTTACGCCGCTCACTTATACTAAATGCAATATTAAAGTAACAATCTACGAAATAACAACACATTCTCTATGACATATAATAACATAATTAGGACTAAAAACACGTGAAGACATAAATATAATACATAATGAAATGAAAATAATACATATAATTAGGCAGCTTTTTCGGAACTTCTCGCTAGATCAATTACGACTGAAGAATGAGTTCAATCCTTAGCGGGTGCTCCATACTTTCAGCCTTGCCCCACATCTTCGTGGTGTTTATTAAATTGCAAATGAAATTGTCTTAAATTGCTTGTATATTTATTACCAGTGATGTCATTGGCTGTCGGTAGAATTTCCCCCAAACTCGCTCGAACAGCCAGGAAACAATTCTATAACAAAGCAACGGTGAAAGGGTTAATTACTGTTACCTACGTTCAGTTTTCTGCTGTTCTTCATCAAAATATCATATGGGATTACCGCACCTGCCATGTCACTTCTCCTAATTCCTATCAGTGAGGGTATATAAAGCAATATAAAAAGCAATATAAAAGGAAACCAATTCTCTTTTTCTTCTTTCCCTCTTCAACCACAGGATAACGTATGGACAAGACGTGTCTCTTTTACTTTCCACATATCATATCGCATATAACAAAATACTATCACCGCACTCTCTTCCGTCCGAAAAAAAACTTCATCCGACCACAATAATATTTTCAGTACAATCTATTACATAAATATATAACTCACTTCAATACAAGGAAATATCAACAACAAGACAACAACGCTATTAAATGGTGATGGGAGTTGGGAAATGCAAAGTCGGTCTTGGCCTTCCCGCTAACTTGGAGCATGTGCATGTAAATTTTGGTGCAAATTCCTTCGAAAATTGCGGCCGTGCATTCGTTACACACACACACACGCGCGCGCGCACACACACACACACACACACACAAGTCCTGCCTTTTATTGATAATGTATGCATTGAATTCATTTATTTTCAGATTACTAAAATTCTCTACAGATTTTTTTTCTTTTTGTTAGGGAACTCACGGTTAATTTCAACGAGTTTCCACATTGCTTTCCTTTTAAGCTAGATTATCAAATATTACTTATTTCATTACTATAAATTAAATACGCCTTATTTTATTACGATATATTAAATAAGTTAGAACATTACTTATTTTATTAAAAACGTTTTCCATTTATCAATTTAAAATATTACTTATTTTCTCTATGGCTTTCTTTTTCTGCGATGATCTTTTACTGCTTACTCTGGGTTCCGTAATGTGCGCGAATTGAGACAATAGGAATTTATTTGACTCCCACTTCAATGGATATGGCAAAATGACGCCTCTTTCCAAAGTGATAGAAAAGCCTTCCAGAAGATATCTTTAAGTGTTAGTGGACAATATCCTTTGGAATTAGACATAATTTGAATTTCAGGTTTACATTTTTTTTTCCAATTTCGTAGCGCGCGCGTTTACAGCAACCGTGATAATGTGGCACGTTAAGCTTCGACATCTCACCTCTTTCTGACGTGTTAACAAAGGAGAAAATTTGCTTCAACAAGTGCAAATCATGGCGGCGATAGTAGAGGGGGATCTCTAGAAATACCGGATGAATGTATATCAACTGCCAGCGTTATACTGAGTTAAGCTTAGTCCATATTATATACGAAACTACATACTCAACCATGACAGAAAGCTATAAAAATAGGTTTACAAGGTTTGTTAAATCAATGAGTTTTCATAGATGAATCAAATATACCAAACTCTACAATTCATCTATCTATCTATCTATCTATCTATCTATCTATCTCACGTTGAAACATCAGTTTCCATGCGATCAATGAAGTTAAGCAACGTCGAGCCCTGTTAGTACCTAGATGGATGACTGCTTGGGAATACCAGGTGCTCATCTTGTGTATGTGCAGGTGGTGTAATGGATAATGGCTGGGAACTGTTAATCAGAGAGCCGAGTTACAATTCTAGTTCGAATTGTTATATCCACGTACGCGCAAATACCCTTGGGAAAGGTATGAATCCACCCCTTCTCTCTCCCCATCATATTAGTAAGATTTGTATCACAAAACCGATCTAATGTTTTCTGGATTTAAATAACCAGTTGATAAGCCACAGATAGATAGATAGATAGATAGATAGATAGATAGATAGATAGATAGATAGATTCGTTGATTGCTTATCACCCGTTTGCAGGTTATTTAAAACCAGAAAACAATAGACTGAAATAATGGAGAAATAACAAAAAGCAAAACTTAAGAGTCTAATAGCCAAAATAGCTAGACATTTTATTCTGTCTGTCGTTAGTTATCAAGCCTAAATTTTGAATGCTGCACTGTCCTCAGATAGAAACCCAAACACTCTGAAATGTTCATATTGGAGCTTCCAGCACGAATGCCAAGCAGTACTGCATGCCATTTCCAAATTTCTGGCGGGGTGCATTGCGTCATGAGGCTCTTTTTCTAACAGACCGTGTCCAAATGATCCTACTATATTATGCAGTCGAAAAATCAAAAACAAACAACGCGCATGCGCTAAATTAAAAATATAAAATGGCGATAATTTACCCATCGCAAACTGTATACAAGTGAAACTTTAAATCGGGGGAAGACGACCTTATTTAAGTATCGCTTTTTAAAATACTAATTTTCATAAATTTTTTTTTCCAAAAACATCAGTTAATCACTGTCATTTATTAGTCATTGAATTCTGTCACTTCATGTCTTCCATAACTTGCCTGATTTTTCAGCTAAGCTGATGAATTTTGTTCCTATACCTAAAAAGTTTGAAAAACTAGTCACACTTTTTGTTTTTGTATATACATAATTGTTACAAAATTAAATTCTAGCGTTTGCATTGATAAAGTCCTTCAGAGGACAAAACGCGTCGGCTAAGATAAGTTTTCCTTTTGTTTTTATTCATATTCTCCATTTACAGATATACTTTATCGAAAAATTATATATATATATATATATATATATATAATTACTTAAACATTATTTTAGTAGATACCATCATTGGAATATACCCTGTTTATTTTTAAACAGTATTTTATTTCTTGTACGGCTATGCACACTCGAGGAAAATTATTAAAAAAATGCGCCCTCCAACAGGATTCGAACCCCTTTGCAGGAGAAACTGTCGTTTAATTGAACGTGCTTTGACTGGTCGGCTACGAAGAGCTTCACAATCAAGCATGGTTCTATTTGCCTTTAAGGAACCCTCACTCGTCTCTTGAAAGTCATAACGCTACAGTTACGTATTACCAAATTAATGAATGTTTTACTTTTTTTTTTTTAATCCGACATGTTTTATTACTTTCGAGAAAATCTGAAGGAGTAAGTGTACTTAAAAAGCAAATAGAACCTTGCTTGATTGTGAAGCTCTTCGTAGACGACAGGTGTGGAGTTAACCCACTTACTTTCATAAAATAAACCGCCTCTAGCGGAGGCTCCTTAAGTCTATAAATAGGAAGTAACATTCTCTGTCATCCTCTTTTTCCTTTTTCACTCAAGGACGAACGAGGAAAACGCTTTTCCACTGGGGAACGCACATGCGCGCACGCACGTACGCATCTTTCCTTTCATTTTCTCTAGGACTATTTCCTACAACAGACTACACACGCATACACACACACATACACAAACAAACAATTCACTATTATCTATGTATATACCCTTGTTTTGTTAATACATACTTTTGTTTATATATAGTTTTGTTGTTACTTTCATTTTATTACTCGGACTCACATCCCGAGTCAGCCATTTTTCTTTTGTGATAAATATACCAGGAGACATGTTTTCCGACCCAAACATACTCGACCAACAAGCACAACCTCAGCACCGGTTAATGCACGGTGTTTTCTCCTGCAATGGGAAACGCAGTTTCGAATTCTGCCAGAGGGTGCATTTTCTTTAATAAGTTTTCTCGAGCATGCAGGCCGCTAGACGAATTAAAATACTGTTTAAAAATAAACCGAACGTCTACTCAGATACGAGTATCCACTAAAATAATGTTTAAAGTAATAAAATATGTCGGATTAAAAATAAAATCCATATATATATATATATATATATATATATATATATATATATATATATATATATATATATATACAAACAAAAGGAATACCTATATTAGCTGACTTTATGAAGGTAAATGCAAGGATTTTATTTTATAACAAATATTTATATAAAGAGTAAAAATGTTATTGGGTTTTAAAAATTTTTAACCTTTTTTTAGCACACTGCATTATTAATATTACTTTTCTTTCCACTTCATTCTTTTTCCATACCTGTCAATTGCAGTATCCTTAATGTCAACTTCACTCAAAATTGTTTTCTGTTGCCATAGCACGATATGACAACACAGCTATGGAGTTCAAATACAGAGATCAGAGTCATCTTCAGTGGCAGGATACACTTTTTTACAGCAAATGAAGTCGCTTAGAAAGGGATAAAAGTTAAATATAAGAACGCTCATAAATATTCATCAGGTTAGTCAAAAAGCCTAGCCAACCTATGGAGGACGCCAAGTTACCCACTTCAAATTTTACACACACACACTACTATCTATCTATCTATATATATATATATATATATATATATATATATATATATATATACAGCAGTGAGCATATCTCTATGCTTTTAAAGCCTGTGATACTTATATGATAGTATGTACGGTTAGCATAACGCTTATCAGCGTGGAACGTGGAATCGACAAGCCGAGTTCAAATTTCAATCTAATCTGTTAGGTTTAATTTCGCATTAATGTTCTTGGGACTGCTATGAATCTATCTCTTCTCTCCCCAGCTATGTGTTAAATAGTAAGATAGACCCAGGCTCTCTCGCCATGAGTGGCAGCCTGATTAGTAGAGTTACGAATTCTAAACTCTGAAGAAGGTAACGAAAAATGACGTCATCATTTCTAAGAAGCAATTCCCAGTCATTTAGAAAGTGCTATGGTCACCTAAGTGATCAAAGGACATGGCATTAAAATTGCATGCATGACCTATCTCTGCCATGGTTAACGAGGTAGGCAGGTTAATCATTATTAATGAGTAGTGAGTCTGAACCTTACTGGGTAACCTAGACTTGTGGCCTTTTTACAAATTAAGCTACACTTAGTAAACAACTATGTTTCCTATTCCTTCAGGCATCTCCCAACGCATTAAAAATGGGAGGGTCAAGATCAGTGTTTGAGGCATCCTTAAAGGAAAGTGCCAGGGGAAGGGGATAGTTTTTTGTTATTACTCCCATGTTTACATAGGATTCCTATTCTAAACCCTGCCTTGGGCCATATTTTGTTTAAGTGCGTGCGCGGAAATCTATCTATCTATCTATCTATCTATCTATCTATCTATCTATCTCCTAATCCACAGCGTATGCATATTACGAAAAAAGCTATTTTTCATAATTTTTAATTTTTCAACGATTATATTTGTTTATGCATTTAATTCAGTCGTGGAAATTAAATATCGCATAATTTTTTAGATTCTTTTTTTTATGCACTGTGCCTCTTCAGGAAGTTAGCGATCCTGTTTCTCCATAACATCCTGTCCCTAGTTGCTTTAATTAATGATTATATCCTTACTATCACTCCTAGTCCCTTTTCTGCTATCCGTTTACACATTAGGTAGGTTACTTGATGTTTCCCTATGCACCACGTGCTTTCATTATGTCCTGTGAGTGTCAATTTTTTCAAATCCTCTTTCCTCAATATGTGTCCCAGAAATTTCAACTTTCCCTTTCTGATTCTAATTATAAATGTTCTTTTTGTTCCAATTTTCCTCGTTACTTACGAATTCCGTCGAGGGTACTCTCGGTATTCTCCCGTAAAACCATATTTATGTCTCTTCGACTCTGTATCTGCGAGGAAATTGTCCGAAATTCCCTGCTATATAGCAGGATTGATGTTACATCGTAGTTCGATACTCTTTTCTTTGTTTCTAACGAAAAATTTCCTGTTTCTTAATACTTTGTTTAGATTTTGTAAGGCTGTTTTTTTTGCTATTGCAACGCGCCTTCGAATTTCCGAGTCACGTTTTCCATTCCCTAATAGTTAAATTGAAAATTAGAAGACTAAACATAATAAACTGAAAATTCAAAGTCAAAAATCAGCAAACTACAGACCTGACTATAATTTTACCCCAATGCAAATATACCAATTTCTGTAATAACTTACAAAGGATGAATATCAGTTTTTCCACTCCACAAACCCTTTTCCCAAAGATGAATCGATGCTAGCCTCTGGCGACTCTATCGCTATTTCCATGGTAAATTTCCAGACTAGATACATTCCACTAGTTCAGACCTATACAGCTAGGATCCGCCACACCACGTACACATTCCCTTTGTATTCCATTGGTAAGGAAGAAGTTCCACTCATGTTCTTCTTCATATTTAGGGGTATAAAGGGAGGAAGTAAGAAGTGAATATTATAAGGATATTTAAAATAGATAAAGATTGACTTTTGATTTGAAGAGTGCCAGTTTTTAACAAATTTTATTTTCTATTTTGAACAAATTTTATTTTTCATAACAAATAAAACTTGCCACTTTTTTAGCTGGGAAGTCATTCCCCGGTATATACCGGATGTAGCAGCAAAATTGTCCAGATTGTGCAACAGCATAATTATCCATCCCCACAAAATGTTTAATATCTAAAAAAAAAAAGAAAAAATATGAAACTAATTGAGTTGCTTTTTTTTTTCATGTTTTCTGATAAGACGTTTAGCCATCTTCACATCATTTTTCGTAAGAATCACTGAAAAACCCTTTGAGTTATTCAGTTAGAAAGAGAGTAGGTTCTGTGTAACTGCCTTCCAGACTGAGCATTGGTGAGATGAAAATACCATACAGGCCTTCAATAATGGTACCAACAGTCATACTCTT